TGCTGCTGCTGTTACTATTGTTACTGGTCGTACCTTTCTTATTACCGTGAATTACGGTTGCAGGGAGGGGAAGCGGCATTTGGAGAATCTCCGAGCGCTGCAAAAATTGTTTTTTGGTTTGTTGCGGTGCAGATTGATTGTCTTCAAAGACAAATCTATATGCTCTGCTTGTTGGCGGCGTTTTACCAGGCGTCCTGCTTTTGGCCACGGAGGGTTTTCGCATCACAGCAGTTGTCACTTTGGCCAGCGATCGGAAAACCCTCCGCGAGCGCATAAACAGCAACATGCTTCGAAATATATCCACCTACAACTGGAGGTGTGAGTTTGGGCTCAGGAGCTTAGGAAACGTCACTGCGAGCAGCACCGTTCTTCTCAAGCTGATTTCCTGTTGAGGTGAACCAAGGAACCAAGGAATAAGTACGGCTGGTAGGGCAAGCTGCTAAACGCATCTTCACATCTCAAGGTGATTCGCGAGAAGCCCGCTGATCCCTTGCCGTTTCTCTCCTCGCAGCTGTTGAAGAGCGCAGTGCTTTCGACAGCATGTGTTAGATTAACCCTAGGACACCTGCGCATTGTACGAGACTCTTAACTTTCGAGATTTTGGCTCGGACCTTCAGCGCAAGCTTGTTCTACAAGCTCTACGTAATTAGCTCTATATATTCAGGGCGTGGTTCATGAGGACAGATTTAGAACGCAGGTCTTTCCAGAGGCGTAACATGTTTTTCCGTTTTCCAACCTCTGGCTTGGCTTACCCTCAGGTGTTGGATGGCTCAAGACCTTGAATTACTACACTGCAGATAAGCCTTTACCTGCTATCCCAGCTGTTGTTGTTGAAGTTTTCAGGCAGGTCACGCCCAATCATCCCCGCGTAACCTTGGAATCCAGGCCCATGTAGGTGTATATACGCGGTTTTGATGGGTGAGGCTCTCAGCATTGCCTTCAGGAAGCAATTTGTAATTACCCTGAGCCTGAGCTTCCCTGAAATTTCAGAGTAGGGCGACTATGTCCGAAAATCAGGACCGTCCAGGAACCTTAGGAGTTTGATTGAAGTAGACTTGGAAGTCAGGCCGGTGATCAGACGGAAGTTCACGGAGTTCAAAGACTGAGGGTGTGAGGTTTGATATTCTCAATTGAGAGTTGAACGGAGCAAGTCTAGGCTGCGATGTATATGGCCGTATAGCATGAAAGTAATCAGAAGCTGCGCGAGGTGTGAAACCTCTTCATATCCGCATGCGCTTGGGCCATTGCAGAAACTCACGGTATATGCTCAGCTATGATCATCCCTCAGGTGAGCAACCAGTTGCAGGTCACCAATGATGTCATCACGCAGGCGACTGCCCCGGCCCCACAACCAAATGCCGGCCCCCCAGCCAATGCTGGGCCAGCGTCAGTACTGCCCTTCAAGGATTATTATGCCGGGCACATTCGTACGATGGCGCCTGCTGCCTACGAAAAGATTCATGCCAAGTTTCCTGCCCAGCCAAAGCCTGTGGCGGCAGCGGTTCCACCAGCCCCACCTGCACTCCCAAAGACTGAGCAAGTTGCTTCAGTTCCACAAATCAAGAGCGCACCAGCACCTGTGGCCCCTGCTATGCCTGCGGCACCAGCAGCCAAGACTCCCTTTGCCAAGCTGCCATCTGTTGGCACCTGGCTTGCCCCATCACCGGCCAAGCTGACGAACGCACAGGCAAAGGCGCAGACCTCTGTGCCCGCCGCAGCTCCGGCCCCCGCCCCAGCACCAGCAGCAGAGGCCCCTGTTCAGCCTGCCGCTGTGACCCTGACACCCTTCACCCCGTACTACAACGATCACGTTCGCACGATGGCACCTGCGGCTTACGACAAGCTGTACGCCAAGTTCCCAGCAAAGTCCAAGCCCGAGGTCGCCCCACCCGCCCCACCAGCAGCTGCCGAGAAGAGCGAGGCAGTTCCCGTGCCAGAGGCAAAGAGTGTCCTCGCAACTGTCAGCCGAACACCGTTTGCTTTGCTGCCCTCGGTTGCCACTTGGCTAGCAGCATCGCCGCTTCTTCTGACGAATGCTACTGCTAGAACACCAGAGGCAGTTGTGTCTCAGAAGCAGGCCCCAGCGGTTGGCACCAATACTGCCACCCCTTCCGCTATCTCCCTAACCCCATTCACCCCATACTACGCAACCCACCTCCGCACCATCAATCCTTCATCCCTCAGTGACCTCTACTCCAAGTTTCCATGCCACAAGCCTGAGCCCGGCACTCAGATTCTTCATGTCTGCAGCCCTGCAGTTCAGCCACAAGAGCCCATCAGGCCACTCCCGGTGCTGGAGAAGACTATGACCGTCCTTATGACAATGGAGAAGGATGACCTGATTCATGAGTTTCAGGACGGCAGAGAGGGCGTTTTGAAGAAGCTGTGATCTGGTTTTTCGGGGTACATAACCCAGGGCCTGGATGTTGTCCAAAAAGAGCTCAGAGTGTTGTGATAGACTTCAGGTATCCGCGGTATCCGCAGATCCAACCTCCCGAGCTTCACAGTCCGCTTTAAGAAAGGTTCACAGCGAACGACTGGACTTTAGCCTGCTTGTGTCACCTGGTCTCGGTGTACTAGTAGATCCCCGTATGATGATGCGTGGTGTCTCAAAGCTGCATGTCCTGGGATCCTCTTAATGCAACCCAGGCGTTTGGGGGATCACGTTGCAGGATGTGGTGTTTTGTTATGGTCAGGCACAGTGCTGAGCTATTCAGGCCTCCCTGTGATGTCATGGGATGTCACTGGGACGAGGTTCAGGGATTTCATCGCGCAGCGCTCGACAACCAATCACTGCTCAGATGCCCTGCAGCTTAGCCCCACAAAGCCAAGCTGCTGTAGAATGATTGTTCCTGTTGCCCGGCGGGGACTTTGTTTCCCACAGGACGAGCTCAAGAAGAAGGATGAGGAAATTGCCAGACTGAAGGCAGGACGTCAGGTTGTGAACTTGGGAGGGGTTGCCTATATGGAACCGAAATATACTCGTGTACCGTTTGCTTCGGTCTCCTTGCGGTGGAGCTCCCCTCTGCAGCTACCCAGCTTTTTGGGCGCTTGAGATCTCAGCTTTGAGCCTCGCGAATCCATTTCAGCTTGCAAGCCATCATTTTCAGGCCAGCCAGGAGACAGAAGAGTGTAGGGTTGGGGCCTTTGGGCTCGGCAGAGGATTTACACGTGCGCGCGGCAACATGCAAGGGGTTTCTTCAGCTGCAGATGTCAGAGCTCACTGCTGCTTCAGGGGGGGGGGGGCGCCTTTTATTGCTAGCACATTCTTGTTTTGGGCCTTTTTAGGACCCATATTACTTCCCGCGGTTCCTCATTAATTCGCCTTCATGTCCTGAAGTTTTCTTAACTGAATAGGGGGATTCCCCACCTGGCTGACCCTCAGCTATGCACCTGCTTCCTTGGACCCTCGAGTTATTAGTCAAATCGGTTCTGAGTAGGGAATAAGGGAACATACTATATAGGCCAGATTATATTCCCTGATTCCCTACTAAGTACCAGTAAGTAATGGATTCGGTATTTTAAGGTACAAAGGGCTACAAAGGGGTAGTGCTGGCCTGATTGCGTGGTGTAATGTATTACCTGGCTGGTATCTCACAGCCTGCAGGCGCTGAGCCATACGGAAGTTTCCGGAATACGGGGTTCCCCAATCCCTTTTCGGATGGCTTGGGTATCCTGAGGTCCACAAGCCTGGGTTGGGAACCTTAATTACCAAGACCCAAAGAATTGCAGTCAGTCAAGGATGTTGGACGCCTCTTCAGATTCCTCAACGGTTAGGATGCATTGGGTTTTCTGGGTCATGTTCAATCTTTGTTACGGTATTCAACACTTGGGGAGGCTACTACCTTCCTCCAGAACCCCACCTGTTGACATTCAATCCTGTGGACCAGGCACAGTTGGGGCTCTGAGGGCGTGGCCCCTTTTCTTGCGTCGGCATCTGCAACCTGTCTGCCCAACGAGCACAGAGTCATAGGGTTCAGGCACTTTCAAAATTCAGCGGCTGGAAGAACTTCGAGCTTTTCGGAATCGTCTTCGTCTCTATCCTTATCACGCAGACGAAAATTGAATTTGCAAGGTGATTTGTCACTTGTGTGGCTTCGGAGCGGGACACGGGTTCAAGGCCACAGGCAGCAGTAGATAGGGAATATAACCCCTATATTATAGCCCTATACATATATACCCTAATATAGTGTGGTAGTTTCCATTTTCTTTTCCATTATCCCTATATAACCCCCATATTCCCCCTGGGGTGAGACGTCCGCGGGCATAGGAAGCACTGTTGCCACGAGGTCCAAGCCCGCTCCTGAGTCTTGATCTTCATGCAGGCTAAAAGCACAGTCCGAGTGACCCACCATGAACCCCTAAACCCTAAAGCCTAAACCCTAAACCCTAAAAACCCCTAAACCCTAAACCCTAAACCCCTAAACCCTACACCCTAAACCCCAAAGAACCCCTAATGTTGAATGGACAGGGGAAAGTGAGGCACAGATCTGAACAACAGCAAGGAGCGAAGTCTGCTAAATTAAAAATCACAGGGTTTAGGGTTCAGGGGGAGGAAGACTCCGTACACAAACTCAAGTTTATCATAGTACAGTGGCGACTAATTGCAGAAACATAATGTAAAAGCCCAAAGAAGTACCAACATTTGGGTCCCATGTTACTCGTATAATGATAGTACAGGTACCTTATGTATAATAATCTAGGTCCCCAAGCCCTAAACCCAAAAGCCCCTATATTTTACCTCCAGACATGAATCCAGAATCCCAAAATCCGAGCCGGAATGCCTGCCATCCAAGGAGCTGTTGCCTTTGCTGATAGTTCAGATTCTCGCGCAATCCTGGCTTTAAGGGCCCTGCATCACATTTTCGTCGGTCGGTGTCTAAGACACTGGCTGGAATGGAGCCTGAATCAGACGAATTAGGCTGCCGTCACAGCACAAAAGAGCGTTTCAAGAATAGTTAGTACAGCGCCGCGCACTGAAGCACAGCCTTATACTTAGCTCCTTACGGATTTCATTACTTTCTGCACGTTACCTGGGCAAGGAACCGTTTTATTGAGCATCACACTCAAAACCTTGCTGTCCGGAGGGCCTCGCATTTAGCAGTGCCCGGTTACGGTCAACCGGCGTGCCAGGACGCGGTGCCGGGGCTTTCAATGCCCTGACTTACGAAATTGTATTATGGCCCTAGTCGGCAGAATGTTTCTCCCCTATCAGCGAGTGCTAAGCACCGCTCAGAGTCTTTGAGCCGCCTGTGCTCACGCGAAAAGGCCGGTCCCTGAACATAGGTTGACATAGCATTGCAGTGTACCAACCTTGAGTATTGAAAGGGCGTGCGTGGGGCCAGTGAGGAGTTCAGTCACTGATCTGTAGTCCGGGCCTAGAAGATATGACGGCCACTTAGAGGACCTAACAGGAGCTTAACACCGGAAGCTCTTTGCCGCCTTTGCATTGTCCTTTTGGGGGGATGGTGAGTCCGACGAGAGCAGTGAGAACAGCTGTGAATAGGCCTGACAGATTCCAATAGATCTCTTCCCCCATCAAAGAGAACTGCCAGCCTGATTTACGAAATACTCCTAATTCTTTTACAGTCGCACTATTATGGGGAGGTTTGACATATTCAACGGGATTGAGATGTTCTTGTAATAGCGGAGAGGATTACCACGGATTTGTAGTACGAACAAATAAGCAACATCCATCTATAAATGTCCTATCCTTAGAATTTTTCTTAATTTCTGTTATAGTATAACCCTGAGGAAATAAGTTTGATAACTCATGTACAGTTCCAAATCTGATCCACTTGACGCTGAGGTCTACCTGTCGACAGCTCCGAGCCAACTGCCAGGCGCCAGCGTCATGCAACACGAAACCCTAAACCCTAAACACTAAACCTAAACCCTAAGCCCTAAACCCTAATCCCAATCTTACCTAGTATTCCGCAGGCTTTCTGACATGAATTCCTTACGTGATTCCCACTTGAACCACGTCACCTTCAGGTCCGTGTAACTTTGTGAACAACAATCTAAAACTTAAACCCTATAAGGGTTTAGAGTTCAGGGTTTAGGGTTTAGGGCCCCAAATCCTAAACCCTAAACCCTTCAGGTCATTATCTTAGACTTAGCCTTGGCTCACGCCGGAGCCCCCTGTGTGGTCGGATGCAAATTGGGATGGCCTCAGACCTCACTAGTCTGATTCCTATTATGTTTAGGGTTTAGGGTTACTGTTATTATTGCTATTCGTAGGACTATTGATGTTTGTATTTTTTGTCAAAACTCATATTCTTACTTTGCTAGGCCGCAAAATTGCTTTGTAATTCTCTTCGCCGTTGGCCACGATTTGTTTGGGCCGGGCAATTCTTACCCATGTACGCCTCTGCAGGTGTGCATATCTCATGCAATCGCAGACCCCTGTGGGTTTAGGGTTTAGGGGTGATTGCCCAAAAGACTTGCAGAAGACTAGCCCTAAACCTTAAGCCCCTAGAGCGCAGCAAGCACTGAAACTTCCAACTCTTTGAAACGAGAGGTCAGGGCTCTAGGCACCAGCCAATGGAAGCAAACTTCGGCCTGGTGGAATATATTATGAAAAAAATGTGTGTATATATATATAGGGGTTCTATATCATATAGGGATTAGATAGGGGGGTATGTATATTATACAGGGAATATGTAGGGGGTATATCTTGTTGCAAGCACCTACACTTACTGGGGGTTAGTAGGGAACACGGGAATATACTATACAGGGGTTGTATAGGGATTCTATTCCTTCATTCCCAACTCAGAACCAGTAAGTAAAAACAAACCCTAAGCCCTAAACACCCTAAACCCTAAACGTGAGACGTGTTGTCCAAGAGGACTGGGACAGTGGAGAGAGAGTGCACCATGGTGGCAGTTGATGGTCAAAGCTGATGTATAAGGGTTGTTTGCTCATGGTTGAATGTATATTCGCTGAACACTGAAACCCGATAAGTAACGTAAAATCCAAAGTTGTTTCATGCGACCCCAAAAAGCAGCCAGGTTGAATTGAATCTGAAGAGCAGAGTGTAGAAGCCAAAACAAGTACCAATATGTATGATTCTGGTAGACGGTATCTCCCAAATACCTCAGAACAATGTTCTGGCCTTCTGTTAAGTAATTTTAGTTCCTCAACGGCAACACAGTATTAGTAAGGCTCATGGCCTGCATTCATGTAGCGTATTTCACAACAACCTTGGACCCCGTACACAAAGGGTCCATGCAGGTGCTGGATGTTCATGGTTTAGTTTTTAGGCTTTAGGGTAAAGGGTTCCCATATGATTGCGCTCAAGGGGGCAGAGTAGCTCACTGGCAGTTAGTAGGGATTAAGGGAGCCAAATCCCTATAT